CTATTTTTAGAAAGGTCACAAATAAGAGTTTCAGCTGCTCATAGACATGTGTCCTGTCTATAGACATGTGTCCTACCTGTCTATAGACATGTGTCCTACCTACCTATAGACATGTGTCCTACCTGTCTATAGACATGTGTCCTACCTGTCTATAGACATGTGTCCTACCTGTCTATAGACATGTGTCCTACCTGTCTATAGACATGTGTCCTACCTGTCTATAGACATGTGTCCTACCTGTCTCACCACCTATCAATACACTCCCCTCCCCACATTTTTGTTCCCGCCCCGCACCCAACCCCCCCCCCCCCTCCTACTAGTTACCCAGACAGTACGCTGAAGGTCACGTGTTAACTACTAAGTCCGTACTAATGAGAGTCGTCCCAGATTGACTAACAAATTACTTAGTTTGAGATGTTGGCGTCATGTACCCGCTATTAGCGACTTGCTGTACCGTCAGATAATTGCTTGAATCAAAAAGCCGTGGCTCCCCGTGTTCCTTTAGAAGTCCTTAGAGTCGGCCACAATCGTTCAGTTCGTGTCTTCAAGTTGTCTGTTTATAGTCTTGGTTGACTGCTAGCATTGGGTCACGTCATAGCTTACTTGAAGTATGGGGTCATGTTATAGAAGTATGGGATCACGTTATAGAAGTATGGGGTCACGTTATAGAAGACTTGAAGTATGGGGTCACGTTATAGAAGTATGGGGTCACGTTATAGAAGACTTGAAGTATGGGATCACGTTATAGAAGTATGGGATCACGTTATAGAAGTATGGGGTCACGTTATAGAAGACTTGAAGTATGGGGTCACGTTATAGAAGTATGGGGTCACGTTATAGAAGACTTGAAGTATGGGATCACGTTATAGAAGTATGGGGTCACGTTATAGAAGTATGGGGTCACGTTATAGAAGACTTGAAGTATGGGATCACGTTATAGAAGTATGGGGTCACGTTATAGAAGACTTGAAGTATGGGATCACGTTATAGAAGTATGGGGTCACGTTATAGAAGTATGGGGTCACGTTATAGAAGACTTGAAGTATGGGGTCACGTTATAGAAGTATGGGGTCACGTTATAGAAGTATGGGGTCACGTTATAGAAGACTTGAAGTATGGGGTCACGTTATAGAAGTATGGGGTCACGTTATAGAAGTATGGGGTCACGTTATAGAAGTATGGGGTAACGTTATAGAAGTATGAGGTCACGTTATAGAAGACTTGAAGTATGGGGTCACGTTATAGAAGTATGGGGTCACGTTATAGAAGTATGGGGTCACGTTATAGAAGTATGGGGTCACGTTATAGAAGTATGGGGTCACGTTATAGAAGACTTGAAGTATGGGATCACGTTATAGAAGTATGGGGTCACGTTATAGAAGACTTGAAGTATGGGGTCACGTTATAGAAGACTTGAAGTATGGGGTCACGTTATAGAAGTATGGGGTCACGTTATAGAAGTATGGGGTCACGTTATAGAAGTATGAGGTCACGTTATAGAAGTATGGGGTCACGTTATAGAAGTATAGGGTCACGTTATAGAAGACTTGAAGTATGGGGTCACGTTATAGAAGTATGGGGTCACGTTATAGAAGTATGGGGTCACGTTATAGAAGTATGGGGTCACGTTATAGAAGTATGGGGTCACGTTATAGAAGTATAGGGTCACGTTATAGAAGACTTGAAGTATTGGGTCACGCTATAGAAGAATTGAAGTATGGGGTCACGTTATAGAAGTATAGGGTCACGTTATAGAAGACTTGAAGTATTGGGTCACGCTATAGAAGAATTGAAGTATGGGGTCACGTTATAGAAGTATAGGGTCACGTTATAGAAGTATGGGGTCACGTTATAGAAGTATGAGGTCACGTTATAGAAGTATGGGGTCACGTTATAGAAGTATGGGGTCACGTTATAGAAGTATGAGGTCACGTTATAGAAGTATGGGGTCACGTTATAGAAGTATAGGGTCACGTTATAGAAGACTTGAAGTATTGGGTCACGCTATAGAAGAATTGAAGTATGGGGTCACGTTATAGAAGTATAGGGTCACGTTATAGAAGTATGGGGTCACGTTATAGAAGTATGAGGTCACGTTATAGAAGTATGGGGTCACGTTATAGAAGTATGGGGTCACGTTATAGAAGTATAGGGTCACGTTATAGAAGTATGGGGTCACGTTATAGAAGTATGGGGTCACGTTATAGAAGTATAGGGTCACGTTATAGAAGTATGGGGTCATGTTATAGAAGACTTGAAGTATGGGGTCACGTTATAGAAGTATGGGGTCACGTTATAGAAGTATGGGGTCACGTTATAGAAGTATGGGGTCACGTTATAGAAGTATGGGGTCACGTTATAGAAGTATGGGGTCACGTTATAGAAGTATGGGGTCACGTTATAGAAGACTTGAAGTATGGGGTCACGTTATAGAAGTATGGGGTCACGTTATAGAAGTATGGGGTCACGTTATAGAAGTATGGGGTCACGTTATAGAAGTATGGGGTCACGTTATAGAAGTATGGGGTCACGTTATAGAAGTATGAGGTCACGTTATAGAAGTATGGGGTCACGTTATAGAAGTATGGGGTCATGTTATAGAAGACTTGAAGTATGGGGTCACGTTATAGAAGTATGGGGTCACGTTATAGAAGTATGGGGTCATGTTATAGAAGACTTGAAGTATGGGGTCACGTTATAGAAGTATAGGGTCACGTTATAGAAGTATGGGGTCACGTTATAGAAGACTTGAAGTATGGGGTCACGTTATAGAAGTATGGGGTCACGTTATAGAAGACTTGAAGTATGGGGTCACGTTATAGAAGACTTGAAGTATGGGGTCACTTTATAGATATAACACGAACTGCTACAACAACTGGCCAGGTAATACAACTACAACTAGCCAGGTAATACTCCTAGCCAGGTAATACAACTACAACTAGCCAGGTAATACAACTAGCCGGGTAATACAACTACAACTGGCCAGGTAATACAACTACAACTAGCCAGGTAATACAACTATAATTAGCCAGGTAATACAACTACAACTAGCCAGGTAATACAACTACAACTAGCCGGGTAATAAAACTACAACGGGCCAGGTAATACAACTACAACTAGCCAGGTAATACAACTATAATTAGCCAGGTAATACAACTACAACTAGCCAGGTAATACAACTACAACTAGCGAGGTAATACAACTACAACTTGCCTGGTATAACAACTACAACTAGCCAGGTAATACAACTACAACTGGCCAGGTAATACAACTACAACTAGCCAGGTGATACAACTACAACTAGCCAGGTAATACAACTACAACTGGCCAGGTAATACTCCTAGCCAGGTAATACAACTACAACTAGTCATGTAATACAACTACAACTAGCCAGGTAATACAACTACAACTGGCCAGGTAATACAACTAGCCAGGTAATACAACTAGCCAGGTAATACAACTACAACTAGTCATGTAATACAACTACAACTAGCCAGGTAATACAACTACAACTAGCCAGGTAATACAACAACTAGCCAGGTAATACAACTACAACTAGTCATGTAATACAACTACAACTAGCCAGGTAATACAACTACAACTAGCCAGGTAATACAACTACAACTGGCCAGGTAATACTCCTAGCCAGGTAATACAACTAGCCAGGTAATACAACTACAACTAGTCATGTAATACAACTACAACTAGTCAGGTAATACAACTACAACTGGCCAGGTAATACAACTAGCCAGGTAAAACAACTACAACTAGTCATGTAAAACTACTACAACTAGCCAGGTAATACAACTACAACTAGCCAGGTAATACAACTACAACTGGCCAGGTAATACAACTAGCCAGGTAATACAACTACAACTAGCCAGGTAATACAACTACAACTAGTCAGGTAATACAACTACAACTAGCCAGGTAATACAACTACAACTAGCCAGGTAATACAACAACTAGCCAGGTAATACAACTACAACTGGCCAGGTAATACAACAACTAGCCAGGTAATACAACTAAAACTGGCCAGGTAATACAACTACAACTGGCCAGGTAATACAACTACAACTAGCCAGGTAATGGTTGTAAAATTATTTTACAACTAAATATCAACAGACGCCACACTACAGGTGACAGAATTTAAAAAATAACAACATTTTTTTGTTTAGCCAAGCGGCAGGCGCGACTTTTAGTTCGACTTTTTGATCAGTATTTTGTTTTAATGTCTCTGACAAACGTTATCAAACTTAACAAAAATGCAGAAAATGTCATCTTTCGCAAAGAAATTAATTGAATAAAGCGTTTACAAAAAAATGAATTGACTGTTTAAAAAAATGAATTTGACCGTTTACAAAAAAAAATTAATTAACAATTTTTAAAAAAATGAATTGACTGTTTAAAAAAACGAATTGACCGTTTACAAAAAAATGAATTGACTGTTTTAAAAAAATGAATTGACCGTTTACAAAAAAAAAAAGAATTGACTGTTTACAAAAAAAAAATGAATTGACTGTTTACAAAAAAAATGAATTGACATTTTATGACAAAAAATGGATTATTTGTTTACAAAAAATATATATTGAATGTTTACAAAAAAAATGGAGTAAATGTTAGCAAGAAAATGGATAAAATGTTTACAAAAAAGTTTGGATTGAATGTTTGGCTTAAAGCAGCAAAATTAAAACGTGTTTGCAAACTGAAATACAACAAACAAGCCGGATCATCGTATATTTATTCCTTTCACCTTCGTCAAAAAATTACTTTCGTTGTGAAAATTCTTTTCTAATAAACTTTCCGTCTAATAATTCCGTCTAAACAAAAAGTTTACAACGCGCTAAACAAGAATTTATATTTTTCATGTAGAAAATCACGTGCCAATCCAAAGTTACTGTCTAGAAATGTGCATCCAAAGTTTCCATTTGTAGAAAAATGTTTTGGCTTACGAAAAAAAAATCAAACCTCACCTTGAAATAATGTCCTCTAATTCTTACCTTTAGGCTGTGTCACCTTAGTGTGACCTTCGAGCTGTGTCACCTTAGTGTCACCTTCTAGCTGAGTCTGGCACCCGTGTGAAAATCCTGCCTGAAATAGCTTTGAACGTCTGCCTACCTCCAGCGAGGTCCTGGCTCTATATACCGACACTCACGCGGGAACTCAGCACAAGAGGGCGAGAAACTTAGCGACCAGTGTGGGTGTGTGGGTGTGTGGGTGGCTGGTGGTGGCCGGGGGTGGGGTGTACTCGAACATTTCCAGCAGTTCAATAGTAGCAGGCTAGGATTAGAATAAAGAAGTTTCCAGCCAGATCTTGATGTAGGTACTAGTTCGCTTCAAGTGTCGACACTTTGTTCAAACTTTGCAATAGCCCCATCTTAGATTCTGTGGCCCCCCCCCCCTTCACCCAACACCCACAACCAACACCCACAACCAACACCCACACCCCACACTTAATTAATACAAACAAATACATCCCACATATTACCCACACATATTAGGCTCCCACACACGACCTTGACATTTTTAATTCCCTCACAGTTTTGTCAAACTAATGACTCACACACACACACGCACACACGACCTTCACAACACACACACACGACCTTCACACAAAACACACACACGACCTTCACACACACACACGGCCTTCACACACACACATGACCTTCACTCACACACGACCTTCACACAAAACACACACACGACATTCACACAAAACACAAACACGACCTTCACACACACACACACACGACTTTCACAAACACACGACCTTCACACAAAACACACACACACACGACCTTCACACACACACAACCTTCACACAAAACACACACGACATTCACACAAAACACAAACACGACCTTCACACACACACACACACGACCTTCACTCACACACGACCTTCACTCAAAACACACACACACGACCTTCATACACACACGACCTTCACACAAAACACACACACACGACCTTCACACACACACGACCTTCACACAAAAAACACACACACGACCTTCACACACACGCGACCTTCACACAAAACACACACACACACGACCTTCACACACACACGACCTTCACACAAAACACACACACACGACCTTCACAACACACACACGCGACCTTCACACAAAACACACACGATCTTTACACAAAACACACACACGAACTCACGACGAACCCCTTACGTGAAAGTAACTAGCCATGCTCTATGATTGATTGGGCAGTCAGAATTTGTTTGTTCGTGGCGTTATGATTTTTTGAACAAACTTTCTTCCCACTTTTTAAAAATAATCATTTGGTCTGATATTTTATAGCGTCAACATGTACACACACACCTACACCACACAGATCCCCCCCACACACACCTACACCACACAGATCCCCCCACACACACACCTACACAACACAGATTCCCACAAACATAGAGAAACAAGAGAGAAAGATAAATTAAAAAAACAATGAGATAGCGTCGTGTGGCCCTCCCTGAAATCAGATCTTTATGTTGATTGTCTTTTATATTTAGTGTCCAATTGAAGGCGTCCCACAGTTACACATGGGACACAACTCACAGGGGACACACGACCTTCACACAAAACACACACACACGACCTTCACAACACACACACGCGACCTTCACACAAAACACACACGATCTTTACACAAAACACACACACGAACTCACGACGAACCCCTTACGTGAAAGTAACTAGCCATGCTCTATGATTGATTGGGCAGTCAGAATTTGTTTGTTCGTGGCGTTATGATTTTTTGAACAAACTTTCTTCCCACTTTTTAAAAATAATCATTTGGTCTGATATTTTATAGCGTCAACATGTACACACACACCTACACCACACAGATCCCCCCCACACACACCTACACCACACAGATCCCCCCACACACACACCTACACAACACAGATTCCCACAAACATAGAGAAACAAGAGAGAAAGATAAATTAAAAAAACAATGAGATAGCGTCGTGTGGCCCTCCCTGAAATCAGATCTTTATGTTGATTGTCTTTTATATTTAGTGTCCAATTGAAGGCGTCCCACAGTTACACATGGGACACAACTCACAGGGGACACACGACCTTCACACAAAACACACACACACGACCTTCACAACACACACACGCGACCTTCACACAAAACACACACGATCTTTACACAAAACACACACACGAACTCACGACGAACCCCTTACGTGAAAGTAACTAGCCATGCTCTATGATTGATTGGGCAGTCAGAATTTGTTTGTTCGTGGCGTTATGATTTTTTGAACAAACTTTCTTCCCACTTTTTAAAAATAATCATTTGGTCTGATATTTTATAGCGTCAACATGTACACACACACCTACACCACACAGATCCCCCCCACACACACCTACACCACACAGATCCCCCCACACACACACCTACACAACACAGATTCCCACAAACATAGAGAAACAAGAGAGAAAGATAAATTAAAAAAACAATGAGATAGCGTCGTGTGGCCCTCCCTGAAATCAGATCTTTATGTTGATTGTCTTTTATATTTAGTGTCCAATTGAAGGCGTCCCACAGTTACACATGGGACACAACTCACAGGGGACACAGGGGACACAACTCACAGGGGGCACAACTCACAGGGGACACAACTCACAGGGGACACAACTCACAGGGGACACAACTCACAGGGGACACAACTCACAGGGGGCACAACTCACAGGGGACACAACTCACAGGGGGCACAACTCACAGGGGACACAACTCACAGGGGACACAACTCACAGGGGACACAACTCACAGGGGACACAACTCACAGGGGACACAACTCACAGGGGACACAACTCACAGGGGACACAACTCACAGGGGGCACAACTCACAGGGGACACAACTCACAGGGGACACAACTCACAGGGGACACAACTCACAGGGGACACAACTCACAGGGGACACAACTCACAGGGGACACAACTCACAGGGGACACAACTCACAGGGGACACAACTCACAGGGGGCACAACTCACAGGGGACACAACTCACAGGGGACACAACTCACAGAGGACACAACTCACAGGGGACACAACTCACAGGGGACACAACCCACAGGGGACACAACTCACAGGGGACACAGGGGACACAACTCACAGGGGACACAACTCACAGGGGGAGACAACTCACAGGGGACACAACTCACAGGGGACACAACTCACAGGGGACACAGGGGACACAACTCACAGGGGACACAACTCACAGGGGGAGACAACTCACAGGGGACACATCCCACAGGGGACACAGGGGACACAACCCACAGGGGACACAGGGGACACAACTCACAGGGGACACAGGGGACACAACTCACAGGGGACACAGGGGACACAACTCACAGGGGACACAACTCACAGGGGACACAACTCACAGGGAGCAATTCTTTCCTCCAGGGTGGGCTTATACATGTACAGCAGAGGGAGCGTGGCGAGGGCCGTCTCTGTAGGGGTGGGGTGGGGGTACATCTGTGTAGGGGTGGTGTGAGGGTCCGTCTCTGTGGGGGTAGGGGTACATCTGAGTAGGGGTGAGGGTCCGTCTCTGTACGGGTGTGGGTCAGCCAATACGTATGAATTATTGTTCTTGTTTAGTTGAGCGACCACATAACGTGGACCTCTGGGATAAATTAATGCCATAAACTACCCATGTATGTTAGCATATGGTAGATGGGGTCAGGTAAAATCAAATTTGGTCACGTGATGTGATGCTATAATTAGCTGATTATTGGATGCAAATTGTCTTATTTATCAAATGACGGCAATGGCCAGTTGAACGAATCCCCATCAAGCCCTGCAAGCACTGACCGGACGCTACAAGCCTGGGATAAGTATCCGACACTGTCGTGTAGGATTCGATTATTCACCAGAGCTTATCGGCGGTGGGGGCTCCTCCATTTTTCTCGTGGGGCGGGTGATAGAGGGTTAAACACAGGGCTAATCAAATGACCACAGCTAGCCCCTGGCTTTCAATGAGCACTGGAGTGAACGTCTCGCTCTCAGGTGCCGTACAATCGACGAGCAGCTTAGAGGATCAAGTCTTACACAATACAAGTGGACACTAGGGACTGGACACTGGGGATTGGACAACGGGGACTGGACACAAAAAAGTTGTCTACAAGACACCCTAGGCCCACCAAATCAGTCTATAAGACACCCTAGCCCCACCAAATCAGTCTATAAGACACCCTAGACCCACCAAATCAGTCTATAAGACACCCTAGGCCCACCAAATCTATAAGACACCCTAGGCCCACCAAATCAGTCTATAAGACACCCTAGGCCCACCAAATCAGTCTATAAGACACCCTAGGCCCACCAAATCAGTCTATAAGACACCATAGCCCCACCAAATCTATAAGACACCCTAGGCCCACCAAATCAGTCTATAAGACACCCTAGGCCCACCAAATCAGTCTATAAGACACCCTAGGCCCACCAAATCAGTCTATAAGACACCCTAGGCCCACCAAATCAGTCTATAAGACACCCTAGGCCCACCAAATCAGTCTATAAGACACCATAGCCCCACCAAATCAGTCTATAAGACACCCTAGGCCCACCAAATCAGTCTATAAGACACCCTAGCCCCACCAAATCAGTCTATAAGACACCCTAGGCCCACCAAATCAGTCTATAAGACACCCTAGCCCCCACCAAATCAGTCTATAAGACACCCTAGGCCCACCAAATCTATAAGACACCCTAGCCCCACCAAATCAGTCTATAAGACACCCTAGTCCCACCAAATCAGTCTATAAGACACCCTAGCCCCACCAAATCAGTCTTTAAGACACCTAGACCCACCAAATCAGTCTATAAGACACCCTAGTCCCACCAAATCAGTCTATAAGACACCCTAGCCCCACCAAATCAGTCTATAAGACACCCTAGGCCCACCAAATCTATAAGACACCCTAGCCCCACCAAATCAGTCTATAAGACACCCTAGCCCCACCAAATCAGTCTATAAGACACCCTAGGCCCACCAAATCTATAAGACACCCTAGCCCCACCAAATCAGTATTTAAGACACCCTAGCCCCACCAAATCAGTCTTTAAGACACCCTAGGCCCACCAAATCAGTCTATAAGACACCCTAGGCCCACCAAATCAGTCTATAAGACACCCTAGCCCCAC